AAATCCTATTTATTTCAAGATATACTAGAAAAAAAACCAACATTCTTATCAGTGACAGATATGAAAGAAAGCAGTGCTAATGGAAACTGTATTACTGAAGGAATATTTATCTTAAAACTTAGTGGACACAAAGCAAAGATACACATCAAAAGGGTCATTTAATACTTCCTATTCAGACTCAAAAGAAGTTAAGCATAGAGCCGGAAAGTCAAAGCATTTGAATGTCTGCTTATTTTTCTATTCACAATTTTCTCACATGACTTTAATCCCTTTTGGGAAGATGACTTTGAATAACCCCCTTTGTTATTTTAATTAAGTGAGCTGGAAAAGGAAAATTGAAATTGAAGACATTTCAAAACTCATGAGGTTTGGGGAATTTTTGTTTGTTTTTGTTACCCTAAGGAATTTTTGAAATACAACCTTTACCTTACAAAAAGCAGATATCTGATATAATCCAAATTTTTTATAATACTGCCCTAAGGATTCAGGCAGCTTTACATATAAAAGCACTTTATTTTGGCGAAAATCTTGGGTCAAGTGCAAATAGAGTATAGAGTTTAGGATAACATAACTGAGATGTTCAGACTTTGGCTGTGTTTCTCACGGTCACCATTTGAGTAGGGACTGTTATATTGAGAGAGGCTCATGGACCATTTCAGCTCAGAGGTCTATGCAGGGAGAAGACCCAGCTGTCTTCTGAAGAAGATCCTTTAACCCTAAATATATATCAACATTCCTTACTTCTTAATACTTTTCCTCTCACCTAGTTGTTTAAATAAACCACTCTTAAATCTACTACCACATAATGCCACTTCAGATTTCAGACTTTAAAATTCATTACCTAGTGAATCAAGCTTTCTCTCTGTTATAAAAGCACATCTATGAGAGTGAAAATTCCATTAGGACTCCAGCTAGTGTTTAGCATGACACTGTGCCAACAGTATACATAATAGGTTCTTAATAAATGTATGCTAATTGGCTATTTGTATTTGTGATTTGGTTAAGAAGAAAAAAACATTTTTGCTTTATCTGAATCATCGCCTACTGTAGAAACTGCTTATTTGCTTGTGTTTTCTCCCATACTCTGTCTTCATATTCTCAACCAAATTGGAAGATGTTATAGCATTTGAGCTTCATTAAATAGAAAGCAATTTTATTAAACCTCAAAGTCTTTTTGCAATGAGAATTCTCACAAAAACATGATGTCACCCTCACAATTTTGGTACAAAATTACAGGCTGATAAAAAAGAGTTCATAATGATGACATAATTATTTTATCAAATCATCCATTGAATTCAATTTTTCAAGTTTAAAATATCAGTGTTGAGGTATTAAAATATTATATGAAATGCTTCATAAATATGAATGACCTTCAGAGAAAATTCAAAAAGTAGCAATAAAATTTGCTGTCTCATTTATAAAATATCTTCTGCTGGTTTTAAGAATATTTCTCTAAGTGTAAATATAGTATCCCCAAGAATGTAAGGACTTTAAAATACAATCTAGAAAAAAAAATGGACCTAGCTACTTTCATCTGAGCTATTATTGATCGCTGTCTTTGCAGTTTTGAATCATTTAGAAGAATATTAGTTCTGGTATGTTAGGTCATCTAGACATACAAGTTCTGTTAATCAGTCATTTTTTTATAATGGGGGTTCACATGTATTATAACATATATGACATATTTTTCAATGAGCATGATTTTATGATGTAATTGTAGATTGATAACATCTATAAACTAAGTCTTTAAAATACACATTGATGATACTGAATCAGGCTGAAAGTAACTTTTCATAAGTCAGCGTTTCTGTAAGATAGACATTTTTTCTTTAATTAGCTAATTCATTTGCCTCTCAGTTGTTAGTTTACTGTTCACTTTTTTAACAAAGTTAATAAAATGTTTTCATAACCATATATTTTCAAGAATTACTGTTTGAACATATTTAGTCAAAGGTAGACAAATAGGATAATTCATAAACATTATAATACTGTTATATTAAAAACCATCATTCATTAGGACATTTACTAATTTGAATTTCATAGCTACTTTGAAAACAAGAATTAGAAGAATCTGATGACATTCTTACTGAGAGACAATTCAGAATATATGTGTTTACCTTCTACTGAACATATAAAAAAAATGTTAGGCTAAGTAATAAAAATTATGCCTAGAAATCTTGATTTTCTCCAAAACCATAGCAAAATAAATAAATAAATAAATAAAAAGTAACCAGCAGAAAAACAATCCAAAGGCAAAGCAAAGTTCTTCCCTGGGCTTCTCATCTAAGAAGATGCCTGATAAATCATGGTTATTTTTTATTAGGTTGGTGCAGAAGTAATTGCTGTTTTTGCCATCACTTTCAATGGCAAAACTACAATTACTTTTGAGCCAGCCTAATAGTTAGGTTAGTGTAGGTGACAATGCTTAACTTGGCCTGATTCATGTGTTAATTGTCTATTTGATGCATTTGGGAGTTGGCGCACTACAATCATCAGATCCACTACAGCTTCTTGACCACGTATTACTTAGAAAATATTTAAAATAATGTAATCCCACGTGGTCAACTAAGATAATGTACATAATAGCATTTCCTGTTAAAATACTGGATTCCAGCAATTCATGTTACATGCGCACATTGTTCTCCAAAAAGCACCCAGATAATTAAAGCAATTGTATAGAAAAAGCAAATCAAACACTAATCAAATTGCCTCAATTAGTCCCTTTGTGTGGACTATAGAGATGAACACCAGACATTGATGATTACCACCCTCATAAACAACATCTACATTTGAGCAAATTTTAGCAAAGTAGACGAGGGAACACAGGTAAGCCATACAGAGTTTTAAAATAAACCACATAATTTCCCATCTTCTGTAATACTGATCTGATTGCTGGTCCAGAGAAGAGCGTGATGCAATGAAAAAGGAAAACAAAGGTCTTGACAATCATTTCTGTCAAGATGGCCCCGGGTAAGAGTTATAAGTCTTTCCCAGGAATAACTGCATCTTGAATTTTCTACCTCTTCCCCAAATCTACATGCTGCTTTTCATGAAATTCAAACTCTCTCTCTCTGTACATATGTGTGTGCATGTGCATATATATATATATATATGTTCACTTTTTAACAAAGTTAATAAAATGTATATATATCCCATACAGCTAAGTCAAGGAGGACTGGATTTTGAAGTTACATGTTAAATCTAATACAATCATTCTTTAAGCAAGCATAATAGAGTGAAATGAAATCCATCAAGATGACATTGAGACAAGCAGGCTGGTTAATTCTCTTTTTTAATATGATCTGGAGAAAACGGATAAAGGCCCCTCACTCAAGCTCTGGCTTATCTAACTCTCAGCCAATCAGTAACGAAAGACCCAAGAAGCTATTAATTCTAAGTTTCTATTTCAGGAGGTTAGCAACTTCCCTGGAGCCACTGAATGCACAGTTAGAATTAAACTCCAACCTATAGTTAACCCTTACTCATTTTAATGCCAAAAATTGTGCCCAGCGCTGGAAATTTAAAATGCTAATGCTATATATGATACACGAAGCGTGTTGTGCCACTGCCGAAGCTCGAGAAAAGCCCTGACAGAATCCTTCCCTGTAGAAAGATCCTATGACACTGATGCACACGCTACCTTCATAAAGCATTCCTTTCCCTTTCTCAGTGCTGGGTCCGTTGTGCACAAGCTAAATAAACTTTATCTTTCTCAAGAGAAACCAGTAGTTTCTCTTTATTTCTGTCCTGGGAGACTGCAAGAACCCAATGCACCAGTAACAACAACTACCATCACATTTTGATGAGGAGACGCAGGCCTTTAGCTTAATCTGATGATATTTTGACTTCTCTATGTTTATTAAGAAGTCATGTTTCTCTGAACACAGCTATTCAAATCCCTTTTGATGGTTTTGTGTTATTAACAGGCATATCAATTATAAAACCATCAGATCTCATGAGAACTCACTCACTATCACAAGAACAGCATGGGGAAAACCAACTCCATGAATCAATTACCTCCACCTGGTCTCTCCCTTGACACATGGGGATTATGGGGATTATAGAGATCACAATTCAAGATGAGATTTGGGTGGTGACACAAAGACTAACCATATCACATGTTAATGTTTATAGTATTCATAGAATCACATCTTTTGGTAATTTTTATGCTTAAAAAACCATGTCCTTAAAGTTGACAATGCAAACATTACTTCCATATGTGCGCTTTCCATTATGAATGGTAAATGATATTATTATTATATATTATGCCTACTCATTATATCCTATGTATTAACTCTATGTGTACATATATGCATACAATGTGAATTGATAATGTAGAGGAAGAGCAAGTGATTCCCCTCTGACCCCATTTTTCATTTTTTAATAGGATTATTCAGT